TTCAAATCAACTCTGATTTTCAAGCCAATGGTGATTACTTTATGTGTTGAAAGGTAATCCTCTGGTTTGGAAAAAAGATTTACAACATGTACACATGTTTTGACATATTTTGCATGGTGAATAAAACAATGCAGGAACTAAAGTACTCTGCTCTGGGCAGTCCTTGGCTTGATACTAATGCAGCTGCTCCTCACCCGAAAGAGAAAAGGAGTATGTCAGGAATGCAAGTGTGGCATCTCAGCACTCATCAGTCAGGAAACTGAAACCTTTCAGCGGTGGGGAAACCGTGACACACTGGAAATGGGTTTTGTGAGCTTGCATCTATGCTCCCCGTGGGCATAGGGAGAGCAGTGCTAAAGGTCCTACACCTGCCATAGAGCCATGTGTTGTATCTGCAACCTAGAGAAACTTTACACCGGCAAACACTGGCTGATGGGCCACCCCACTGCTTAGAATACAAAGCATGGAACCTGGCCCAGTGCAGAGTAGAAGGACATCTGCACACCAGGAATGAAAGTTCAGGAGGTCTGGTGAAAAGGGTTAAAACAACAACAACAAAACTAAGCAAAGTCAAAGACTTGGCAATTGCACTTGTTGCAGATGATATATTATTTTCTTCCCAGTACTTAAAATGAACATTTTCAGTTTGAAATCAAAACAAATTGCAGACAGGTTGCGCCCAAGCACTTCCTAACACATAATTTAGATGATAATTTAATATTCATCTTCAGGGCCAGTCTCAAACTCTCCCCCTGGATTTGGGCCATCGGTTAAGTGCTCATGTCATTTCCACTCAGTTTCAGGCAGCAGACACCAACACTAGCATATTAAAAAGAAAAACACTTTTAAAAAACTGGGCTTAAGGAAAAAAAGACTTGGACATATTTCACACCCTCCAGCAGCATGCTTTTAAAAGGGGAAGCAAGCCTGACAATACCAAGATGGTGACAATGACATAGCCACTTTGGAACAGTGACCAGCAACTGCATTTCTAGGTTCTTCCCAGGAAAGGAAAAAAATCCTGCTTGCAAAAGACAGTAAAAGAATGCATATCAACCTTATTCCCAGTATCCCCCAACTGGAATTAAGTCAAGTGTCCATCAACAGAATGGACCAGAATTCACGTGTAGTCACACGGCAGGATGACTTCTAGCACGTAGAAGCAGTCGTGTGTGGAAGGAACACCAGGCTCATGACATGTGTGAGCACAGCATGTGCAGGAGAGGGCAGAGAGGCCTAATGAAGGGCAAAGTGTAAAGATGGGGCAGGGCAGCTCACCTGAGCATAGCTCTCCAGGGTCCTCTATGGCATATGAGGCATCTTGGCCATCCCCCCTCCATAGGGACCACGAAGCCAAACACAGGCAAGCTCTGAGTGCTCACAGCAGAGTACTGCAAATCCACTCCCAGCCTGGCAGCCTCCTGTTCCAGAGGACACAGCCCAGGGATGCTCAGGATCACTCAACTGCACCATCCCGGAGGCTGACGCCTGGTGACCAGTGCCTGGTCCAGTTTCTCTTTCCAGACACTGCTGGGTCTCCATCATCTGCAAATGGTCCTAGCTCTGCCAGGAGAAACCCCCCCACCAGAGGCTAAGGACAGCACAGTGGGGGGGGGGCCCTCTGGTCCACACTGCAGAGAGGACCACAGCTGCCTCTTTTCTCCCAGGATGGCTTTACCTAGGCAGGGTCACCTGGCATCCCTTCTGAACACTCTCAGTGTACACTAGGGCATTTTCCCCTGAGTTTTCAGTGAGTGCTGCCCCATTTGTGCTCTCCTGAGAATGTCTTATGACAGTCTTTCCCTTAAGTGCTGGAGGCCCCCAGAACTCCGTCAACTGCTGCGTTCATGCCAGGAAGCCCAGCTGGCACACTGATCACCAGCCACCTGGCCCCGCCCACACGCTCTAACCCATTCACCCAGAAACAGACCTCTCTCTATCCTGCAGAGTTTCAATATGAGCCAGAGGGACCCAGCCATCACAGCTTAGTTGCAGGGATGCTGCCTGTGGTCAGTGCTCACTGCCCAAATAGAACCAGTCGCTGTCAGGCCAGCCCCTCAGCTCTCTCCCACCACCAAGCTCCTGTTCTGTGTCTTATTTCGACCCCACAGAAATGTTAGAGCACTGCCTGGTGCAGAGTCCGTAAGACATAGTTGCACCCCGAGTTTTGGCCACCAAGGATAAGGTGCACCAGCCACCAGGTGCTCAGTAGTGCCACTCCAACAAGTCCAAGAAAGATTAAAACATGCAACTGAGATTTTGTTCATGAAATCTTTTCCTACACCAATGTCTTCAAGGGTTCTATCTAACCTTTCTTCCACCCAGTTTAGTGTTTCTTTTAATATTTAGATCTTTAATCCATTTTGATTTTAGTTTAGTGCATAGTAAGAGATACAGGTCTAGTTTTAATCTTTGACAAGCTGAAACCCAATTTTTCCAGCACTATTACAGAGGCTATCTTTCCTCCAGGGAGGGTATTTGGCTCCTTTGTCAAAGATGAGGTGGCTGAGTGTCTCTGGAGTTGTTTCTGCATTTTCTAATCTGTTCCATTGATCCTCGGGTCTGTTTCTTTGCCAGTACCATGCTGTTTTCATTGCAGTAGCTTTGTACTATAGTTTCAAGTTGGGGATTATGATACCCCCTACCTTGTCTTTGTTGCCTAGAATTGCTTTTGCTAGTCTAGTTCTCTTCTTGTTCCAAATGAATTTTTGGATTGTTTTCTCAAGGTCTGTAAAGTATGCTGTTGGAATTTGAATTGGGATTGCATTGAATCTATATAGCCGTTTTGGAAGTATGGCTATTTTCACTATATTGGTTCTTCCTACCCAAAAGCAAGGGATGTCTTTCCATTTTCTGATATCCTCTTCAATCTCTTTTTTCAGAGTGCTGTAGTTTTCAGAATACAGGTCCACAAGTGGGACCTCTTCTTACTAAAAAGCTTCTGCACAGCAAGAGAAACCACCAACAGCATGAAGAGACAACCCACAATGTGGGGAAAAAATTTTACCAGCTGTTCCTCAAAGGTCTACTATCTAGAATCTATAAAGAACTTTAAAAAATCAGACCTCCCAAATTTAAAGACCCAATCTGAAAATGGGCATCTGAAGTGAACAGACATTTCTCAGACAATGAAGTAGAAATAGCAAATAAACATGAAAAAAAAGTTCAACATCACGGGTCATTCAAAAAATGCAAATGAAAACAACATTGAGATTCCACCTCACCCCAGAAAGAATGGCTGCTATCATGAAATCAACCAATAACAAATACTGGCGGGGCTGTGGGGAAAAGGAACCCTACGCCACTGCTGGTGCAACCACTGTGGAAATCAGTATGAAGATACCTCAAAGAATTAGGACTAGAGAGCCCATCTGACCCAGCTATTCCCCTACTGGGTATCTTCCCAAAAGAATTAAAAAGAATCATACCACAGTGATATATGTGCACCCATGTTCACAGCAGCACAGTTTGTAATAGCTAAAACTTGGAAACAGCCCAATTGCCTATCAGCTGGAGATTGGATAATGTGTGGGGTTTTTTATAAAATGGAGTACTACTCAGCCATAAAGAATGAGAAATTGAGAGACATTTATAGCTAAATGGATGCACTTTTCTTAAGTGAAATAAACAGGACACACATGTGTAAATACCAAATAGTTTCTCTGGTGTGAGAAACTGAAAGTGTAAATAAGGATCAAAAGGCATAATAGATAACGTGAAATAGGAAGAAAAGGTCCAAAGGGGAAGGGGAAGGGGAAGAAGGAGGGGTTGGGGAAAGGAAAGAAGAGAATGGAATATGAGAAAGGAAAAAATGTAAACAAAGTCTTTGTAAATAGGGAAGGGTGGAAGGGTTGACGGGAGGGCAGGGGAATGGGGGAAAAAAATAAGAACCAAGATGTATTACGTAACGGTACAAATTTCCAATGATGAATGTCATTATATTGTATACCTAAAATGTACCAATAAAATTAAAAATAAAAAAAGATCAAAACGGTGGACCTGACACCAACAGCTTCACCGTGGGTGTGCCAAACGCCTAAAAGTGTCTTTAAAATACTGGGGACGCCCGTCTATGGTCCCCTTATTAACTTCTGCACATCCCCAAGATTTGTATCGAATGAAGCAAAAACCACTGGACTAAAACGCACATTTTGCCCCAACCCGTTGTTATCGAAGTTTTCACAAAGAAAATTTGAGGTCTTCGTGATCAAGGAAAAGCACAGCCCTCACTCCTCAGGAAACACCACCGGGGAAAGGGGGGACACCGAGGGGCCCAGGAAAGGAGGGACAGCAGGTAGCCCGGGCGACGTGGGGGGCGGAGAGGATAGCGTGCGAGCGCAGGTGGGGAGACAGTGGACAGCCCAGCTTTGAAAGGCACCGATCCCCCAGCGACCCGGGAGCGCCCGGCCTTGCTGCTCAAGGCGGGACAACACTCGTGCGCGTGGACAGCAGGTCCCAGACCGTGCCGCAGGAAGGGAAGGCCCACGGCGGCCAAGCTCAGGCCATGCAGATGGATATACAGAGACCTCAGCATCCCGCGGCCACAGCAAGAGGACAGGGCCTCCGTGCGCCTGCGCAGCGCTCTCCCCACAGCTCCGCATCCGCACCGCGCCTGCGCAGCTCCAGTCCCGCCGCCTCACGTCACGCAGTCTACAGTTTACAAGCGAGAGTCTCTCCCAGTGGGAGCCCGCTCCCAGAGTTCTTCGGCCAAAAAGGAACCACCCCTAGGCTCAGCCGACTCGAGATTTGACCCGCCCCCTTCCCAGTGTTGCGTTTGACTGGGCAGCAGTTCCCCGCCTCCCCGCTCTCTTCAAGCCCTCGCTCTTCTGTAGCTGCAGCCGAGCTCCCGGGTTCCCGTTCTGCGCATGCGCAGCAGCCATCACCCCTCGGCTCTGGGCGGGCGTGCTCCTGGGCCCTCTTTTCTGCGCTTGCGCAGGAGCCTCCTATGCTTTTGGGGGCGAAAGCTGGAGAGGAGCCCACCTCAGACGCTGGGTCTGTGCAGCTGTGTGGTCCATGCACATTTCCTCGATGGCAAAATGTCATAAATCCTAGTTTTAAAATAAATGCCAACAGTCTGTCCCGAACATCCCCAGCGCATTCTCCGATTCCCTTCTGGTTGCGTCAGTCCTCGCTTTGGGGCTGAGTCCTCCTGGCCGGACCACCTGCTGTTTGAGGGGTCTGCGGGTGTCCCGCGGCGGCCGGAAATGGTAAAGGATGTCCTGCCACGACCAGGACTGTGCAGAGTGACCAGGGCTGTCTAGCGTGACTGTTGGTGTCCCGTGGTGACTAGGGCTGTCCAGAGTGGGCACAGGTGTCCCACCTTTCTGAGGGTTGCCCAGAGACCATAAGGATATCTATCCCGTGGCGACCAGGGTGACAGGGGTGTCCTGCAGTGACACTGCATAGGGATCTACCTAGCTGGGGGAGGAAAAGTGGGTTTGAGGTGTGGTAGGGGACAATCCACAGCCCTCAGGGAATTGGCCGGAGCCGGCTAACTGCTCACAGCAGAAGCGGGGGAGATCGCTTACAGAGGAGGCAACAGGCCCTGGAGCAGGCAACCTAAAGGGGCCAGGGCAGCTGAAATGTGCGACTTTACCCCAACCAGCCCCGGCCCTGAGTGACCTGCGTCTCCTTCCCAGGATGGGGGTGGGGAGGGGCGGGGCAGGACAGGTGAGCTTGTGGCCTTGGCCAGGTGTTGCCCTGGTGGGGGGGGGGGGGAGATGGTGGAGTAGTTTTGAGGGGAGGTACAGAGAGATTAGGGCTGGCAATCCAGTGGTTTCTGGAGAGGCGGGATTGTCCCTATCCAACCTTGCTGCTGGCACCAATGTCCCTTAGCCCCATGCAGCTCTCCCCAGACACCCCAGCCTGTCATCCAGTTGTGTTTCCAGAGATCTGGGCACTGTGGTGTGGGATCTGAGCCTCGATATGGGGGGGGGGGGCATCCTGTTCTAATCCCTATTAAAATACTATACAGACGCTTGTTAAGGGTGGCACAAGTGAATCTATTCAAGGGGCCTTCGAAGATGTGAGCCCTCCCACTCAACTCTGAATACACAGAAAAAGTGGGGATGTATAGCCACTCCCACAAAGGGGTGGAGTGGAAAAATCACTAGGAGGAAATGTCAGGTTCAGGGGCCTCTGGTAGACAGATTGGACAGCTTTTCTGCGGGAGGTAGGCTTGGGTGGGGTGAGACACAGGATCAGATATCAAAGGTGGGGGATTTTCACTAAACTGGCCCAGCAGGATTCCTGTTAAAGCCAGACGGAACAGGCCAAGGTCAGGACTAGTCAGAGGACTCAGGGCCCTGATCCAATGTGGCCCACAGAGGAAGTGTCACCTTTCACCTGAGATGAGAAAAGTAGCCAGGAGAGACAGCCAAACAGGTAAAGGAATGGTGATCAGGCCAACAGCCCAGTGTCTAAATGCGAATAGGTCCAGGAGAAAGGGACCAATCAGACAGAGCAGGCCCCAGGACATTTAAACACATCCTGCCTTCCAGGGCAGGAAGCGTGAGCCCAAAGTGGATTTACACCAAGCCCAGAGTATTGCTGGGATATGTATTACAACCTGGCTTTCCATCGTATTTCTGTTTGACCTGTGTCTTTTTAAAATGGAATACAGCATGTAATTATGACCCTATGGGTTCTGGTCAATCAAGATTACAGTACACTAAGATTTTATTGGATAATTAGAATTAATTATAATTCTGGGGTGTTTAATAATGCTACAATGCAATTTCCACAGTTGTGAGTGAAGAATGAGACCAAGTGTGTGTGACGCCGACTCAGCCTGTTCATCATTGTAATTGGGAGGTATCACAGCACGTGGCCCTCGGTAAGAGGAATTGGGGAGAAGAATGGCTTCCTCACCTTTCCCTCATGATTCAGCTGACAGGCTCTCCAAGGTCAAGGGGATCAATGCAGAAAGTAAACACCCACAGGACCCTCCAGCCTGGCCTTTCCAAGACCGACCTAGCATCCACACTGGGTGGCCAGCAAATGCCCACTGGCAGCAACTTCAGACTTGGTTTATCTTCTTTATGCAGAATTTTTCTTTCCCTAGCTGGAAGACCTGTTTATAGGCACATTTCTTTCTGCACTCCATTGCCACAGATTTTTGAAAATCTGTTTTTGGCTAATTCCTGAGAATGCTATAGAAGAGGCATGAGAATGATCTTCACCTTGACATGAGTCCCAAAGTCCCCCCAAGTGGAGACGAGCTTATTTTTAGATGAAATTTCCTTGGGAAACATTTCCTATTTTATAATTTTAACAATAATCCCTGCTTAATATTTTAAACCAATATTTATAAAACTGCCTAAGAGCTTGGGAATAAATGGATTTTAATAAAGAAAAGCTGTTTTACAGTGCCTCATCATAAGAGGATCCTGGGAAATGAGAAGGGATAGAAAAAAGACCAACAAACGGAGAAGCACAGACAGCAGGGTGACAAGGCCACTGAGACTGGACCACAGCCACCAGGGCCAATAGAACCGCTGAGATGGGACAGAAGCAGGCAGATATCTGCACCTGTACAAGATTGATGCCACCCAGGAGACAAGATTCAGCTTCCTCCTCCATGCATCCAGTGGCAGCTGTGCTGGTTACTTACCTTTGTAACCTTAAAAGTCAGTGTACTCAAAGCTGTCTCTTGGCTCATTTTGAGCGTCTAGTGGTCCCTGCTCTATAATCTATAATCCCTTCCTGATCCCTTCTCCCTCTTTTATCTCCCAACTCCTATCAGGTAACTATTTTTAGTTTGGAAGCTGATAAAATGGTTACCCTGTAACAATAATTTAGGCCTCCTAAGTTCATGTGCAGAGACCACATGTTGGGTGTCCCCTGAGCCATCTGAGAGGACATATTCCCAGTACTAAAGTCAAGGGGATTGTTTTGTTGTTGTGTTTGGGGGGTTTTATACTGCAGTATTCCTTTGAAGTCATACCACATTGACAGTTCCTTATATTTGTGCCAAGAACTTTTATTCCTCACAATTTATATTTTCTCTTCTTTTGTCCTTTTTGATGGATGCCTTAGTCTGTTCAGGTGCTATAACAAAATACCTTGGACTAGGTAGCTTATAATGACAGAAATTTATTTTTCACAGTTCTGGGATCCAGGAAGTCCAAGATCAAGGTGCTGGCAGATTCCGCATCTGTTCCATGAGAGCTGGTTCCTCACCACCTTCTCACTGTGTCTTCCCTGGAAGGACACTAATCCCTGCCCCTAGGACCTCACCACTTCCCCACAGCTCCATATCCTAGCTCCACTACTCAAGGGTCAGGATTTCAGCAACCATTTCAGAGGGCACAGTCTTTCAGAATGTATGAAGTACAAGGAGCCTCCCTCAGCTGAAGGTCACTGGCTGCTTCTCTTGAAGCCATATGGAATCATTAGCTGTTGTCTTCTCTGAAGAGCTCCGGCTGGGCCCTCAAGTCTCTTGCTGCAGCAGGCCTGGCCTATGCTCTTTGTTGCATGGCCACCATGGGGGACTCCCTTCCTCCAGTGCTGGGCAAGGTGCTGGCCAGGTGCCCACCAGGTGGGCTCTACCTTTGATGCTGCTGAGCTCTGCCCAGGTCCCCTAACTTTGCTTTGCCTTGTAGGACGTCTTTGGGTGATGTTCAAGTGGGATTTTCTGGACTTGGGAGTCAGTATTTCTCAATGGTCCTGTGCCTTTGCTCTGACAATATCTCTCTTTGTAAAGGGAGGTTCAGTAGTGGTGACTGACTTCCACTGAGCCAGTTGATTTTCTTTCCCCATCATTGTACAGTGAATCCAAGATCCCTGGTCTATCCTAAGAGCAGTAGAGTCCTGGCTTTCTGGTCACCTGCCTGGCTCTGTGATCCAGCCTGGGAACTAATTAGGTTGAAGTGGGAAGAATCATGGAGCCTTCAACAGGGGCTTGGAATGGTATTGCTTTCAAGTGAAAAATGAGAACAAAATGCATTTGATCTTCCTCATGGTGGAGCATCATACCCAAAGACTGACCCCTCTTGCCAGCGAGGAAAAGACTCTCATGCCAGCCCACAAGGGCAATGACCCCTGCTTGTGAACAATCCCAACCTACAGGGCTTGTGCTACATCCTAGCAGCTTGTCTTGGAGGCTGGAGGGGGAACTGTTGTCCACTGTTCTGACCAGGCCTCTGCACCTGCCTACCTGTCCCCTGGGCTTTATGCAGATGGGCGTGACCAGAAGACCACACAGCCTGCTAGTGTCTTCGCTCCTCTTAGAACCTTTGTCCCTGTCTGAGACTCTTCTGTCAGGGTAGACACAGTGGGTTGGGGGGGAACAATCCCTCCTTCCAGAACCCCAGAAACTTCATAGCTCCGCAGTCTTGGGCTTGAACCCTGAGGAGTACAACCCAACCCTACCCCATCACGGGCCACAGTGGTTGCCACTGAAAATGCCTGGGCTGGACTGTCCCCTCCTCAAGGTAACCTCAGAGCAGAGGAGGAGGGACTTAAAGTGCCGGAGTGAGCTGCTTTGGATGGAGGCCACGGACACCAGGGGGCCAGCGGAGGAGGGGGCCTGAGGCCCAGTGGCGAGCCAGAGTCCTCTTAAGATTGACCCCCAGGGAAGGAAGAGACCGTGTTCCGGGGGATTGCTCTTCACTTCCCTTGGAATGAGGACACTGCCTCTGTGGCCTCCAGTTCACAGCGCTGCTGCTGAGCCCACACCACTGGCCCTCGAGCGTCCACAAGGGCAGCGTTGCTTCCAGGGCATAATTAAAGAAGAAACAAACGATGCTGGAGGCGTCACCAGGACCTGCAGCTGCAGCATGAAGGATGGCTCACAGCCCATTGTGAGAGATAGACCAGCTTATGGATTGCAGCACAGCCTGAGCTCCCAGCCAAGGGGTTGTCACCCTCTCGGTTCTCAGCCAGTGGCTTGATTGTGTTGACACAGAAGGTCTGGGAAGAACATCTGCCTTCTTCGAAGGGCCAGCCTGAGAGCAGTTTTCTCAGCAGCTTTTATCTGGTTCTGCTTCGCATCCCATGGCCAGTGCTCTCTGAATCTGGCTGGTTCTGCTGTCCTCGCACGGGGTTCTATCATGGGAGCCACACATTACCCCATGGGCTGATCTCTGGCCTGGGCCAATCTCTCTCTACCCTCATGGAGCTCAGACTTTGTGGATCAAAGATGTGCCCCTCAGAGAGCACAAATGGCAGGGCTTGATACTGGGTCTGGGCTGGGGAGCTACCTTCAAAACCAGTTCACAGAGCAGATACAGCTCAGGTCCAAGGTTAGCCATGAGCTGTTATGTGACTGTACGCAGCCACCTTGATTCTACCTTCAAAGCTAGGGTGATGGTACCCATCTCAGTGGGCCACTAGGAACATGGCATGAGGAGATACAGCTTGTGAGGAGCCCTGCAGGCCAGCCAGATGGCACCTGCCCCCTCCCTCCTACAGTCATCCCTGGAGGCTTCCACCTGCCCAGCTGTCTGTCCACACTAGGTGACAGGCAGCCTGTGAGTGCCAGGCAGAAATGTGATCTGGTGGGGAGACCTTGGCTCCTGAATCCTGGTGGGCCGGGGGATGGAGGGGCCCCATGGAACTGGGGTGCTGATGTAGGCATGGGACATCAGGCTAAGGAGAGACTGCCTCGTGACACTGCAGCCTGCCCAGTATTTGTAGTCCCTACGGTCAGGTTCCACTGTGTAAACAGAACCAAAAATAGCAGTGGCCGAAACCAGACAGAGAATTTTCTTCCAGGCACAGGAAGTGTGGAGGTGGCACTATGGCAAGCATGAAGCTCAAAGCGACTTCAATACAGGAACATTCTTTCCCTCTACCCCACCCTCCTAGCTCATGGCCCCCAAACCTCTCCCAGGGTGGCTGCTGGAGCTCCAGCCCTCACATCTGCTCACTACTCAGCTTGGAAAGAGGTTTGCAGAAGCTGTTGGATAACACTCCTGCTTCCACATCATTGTCCGTAACTTAGTTGCCAACCTGTGCCAGTGGCAAAGGGTAGGAAATGTGTCTAAAATTCAGGTGACTATGTGCCCACTTAATATTTGGGAGGACTGTCACTGAAGAAGAAAGGAGGAGCAGAGTTGTACTTTGCAGCTGAGTCTTTGTCTTAAGAATTTCCCTGCTTTCTTTCTTTTGGCTTTTCCTGGGAGAGTAGTGGCCTGCCCGGATGGAGGTGAGTATGGTAAGGTGAAGAAGTCGATAGTGAGGACGATAGCACTGCTGCTACCCTGCCTGTCTTGAAATTCCATTCAAGCAGAGATTCCGAAATTCTGTACTGAACCACATGTCCTCTCCCCTGGGTCGCCTGTGAAGCACGCCAGCACCTGCTCTGGAAACAAGGACACAGCGCCCCGGCCACCCCCTCTCAGGAACACGGACACAGACACTCTGGGAGACCGTTCACCTCAGACCTTCTGTTTCACTTTTCCTTTTTCCAACTTAGAAAAATATTAACTTTATCTTTTTTCTTTTTATTTTATGAAAAAATCCAACGTATTTTCATAACCAAATAAGAGAATAGCAATAGTTACTGTACTGTGTATTGTTATCTTCAAAGTAGAAGATAGAACCAAAAAGATTCTTACGAAAAAGAAACAAACAGGTAATAACACAAACTCTCTTTTCAACAAACTAAGCTCACCTTTCAGCAGAAGTGAAACAAATTAGCATATACGTTGAAATATTTTTAAAAGAGAATAAGTAATTTGAGGAAGTATTTGAACTTCTCCCATATCCATATATATATATAGTATTTCTCATTTAAGAGAAACCATGCAATATGTGAGCTTGTATGTCTTATTTCACTTAACATTATGTTCTCAAGTTACACTCATTTACCTACTAATGCCTGATGTTTATCTTTCTTTATGATAGCATAGTACTCCATTGTGTATAAACACCATATTTTCCTCATCCATTCATCTGTTGGTGGACATATACGCTGTTTACAAAATCTAGCTATTATAAATTGTGCTGCTATAAACATGAGTGTGCATGTGTTGCTGTAATATGATGATTCTAACTCTTTGGGGAAGATACCTAGGAAGGGGATAGAGGAGTCAAATGGAATTTCTACTTGTAGTTTTTTGAGGAATCTCTCCATACGGATTTCTAATGTAGTTCTACTACTTTACATTTCCATCAGCACTGTAGTAGAGTTCCTTTTCCCCACATCTTCACCAGAATTTATTATTTTTAGATTTTTTGATGACGGCCATTCTTTCTGGGGTAAGATGGTATCTCAGTGTTGTTTTAATTTGCGTTTCTCTCATGCCCAGTGCTGACGAGCATTTTTTCATGTATTTATTGACCATTTGTACTTCTTCTTCTGCGAAGTGTCTTTTCATTTCAGTTGCCCATTTTTTGACTGGGTCTTTTATTTTGAGAGAGTCTAAGTTTTTGATTTCTTTATATATTCTTAATATTAATCCTCTGTCTGTGGAATAACTGGCAAAAATTTTTCCCTTTCTGTAGATTGTCTCTTCACTCTGTTGCTTATTTATTTTGCTGTGAGAAAGCTGTTTAATTTGATATGACCCCATTTGTTGATTCTTGGGGTTATTTCTTATGCCATTGGAGTTCCATTCAGAAGGTCTTTGCCTACTCTTAT